ACATGATAGCCAGGGAGATTAGAGATACAGTTATGTTTTTATACTTAGTGGCCTCTTATAAAACACAGCATCACAAAAGTATGGCTGGGAGGAACGTCGGAAGGTTATCCAGCCTATTTGCTTTCCCTACAAGATACAATACACCTAAGCCAGTCCAGACAAATATTTGCCCAGTCTTTTCTCAAAAACTCCAGAACCATCTGAAGGAAAATTAAATCCAGCGCTTTGCAGTGTGTACCAGTACAAAAATTTCCCCAGTGACTAACCAGAATATATTGTGGCAAAATATAAGGGGGACATGGTTAGAAGGTGGGCCTTTCCACCTGGAATATGATGCAGACTACAGTTTTGGACTGTGGCAGCTCAAATGTTTTTTGTGCATGTCCAGCAAAAAATTTTGTCCTAGGCTTGTATGTGCACACATTTGTGCATGTATAATGCGACAAAGGTTTAAGACAACAGTATCAAACAAAACAAAATCAATATAGGGTTTTTTTTTAATCAAAATAATACTAACAAGAATATTTCATTGTTACACGACTGAGAAGAAAATGGCTGTCACCCTGTAAAGGAAATTGTGACTTTCTCCTGTGGACCCGTTTTGGTGCTCAGCCCAAATCACTACACAACCACCCCTACAAGCTTGACAGTAGCCAGTGAAGTCCCCTCTGAGACTTACTGATTTAGTGCAACAATGTGCTACAATCCTGTATACAAACATTAAAAAACCACTAGAGAAATGGTAAAATTCTGAATTATGCGGTTTTATTTTGTGACAGGTGTATCCCAGGTTTGTAGCTACCTCTGCTTTACAGAGGTATGCTGTCCCCGTTCCCCTAGCTAGATGAAACAACAAAGAAAGATTTCACTGGGGTTTATGGTGGGGAAGGACCTAGGATCCTCACTTCAGCTATCCCAATGTAAAAGTTAAAGGCAGCTGAGGAAATGAGTGGGGAAACCTTGCTCCTGCTATGTTTGTGATGGTATTCATGCTTCAGCCATGATCTATCAAGTAGTAGTGTCATCCTCCAAGCATTTGACAGTGGTCTGAAGACTGCTATCTGGTCTCCCTGTCCAATGCTAAGGAGTAGTAATAAAAAAAATATTGCTCTTCTAATGTAGCTTACCTGTATGCGACTGCTTGTGAGCAGTGTATAAGAGATGTTATGTGATCATCAGTATGAACCTATTTATGCCATCATAAATAGAAAGGATGACTAACTATGAAAAGTTCTAATTCAGTATTGAGAAAAACACTCGGAGACTTTCTTCAGTGTAAGTTAGAATAACTGATTTTTATTATTAAACTCTGGCACTGCCAGAGACACTCTGTGAGATGTGGCACTCTGTGAGATCATATTTTGTGCTGGTTTTTATTGGAAAGAAGAATCTCAAAGCATGGAAAGAATATGTAGTTGTGATAATGGGGCTCTTCCCACTCAGGATTGGCTATAAGAAGCAACAGTATCAAATGTATTTTATGTATATTGTATAAGCTTTGTTATACAAAGAATTTTAATAATTTTTGATCATTTCCACTATATTTTAACAAGCAATTTCATACTTCAGTGACAGCTGTTTAATTTTCTTCTAACCACTTTCATCTTACACAAATAAAAAGCCTTTTGTATTATACTCATTAGTTTCTTAGCAGGATGCGACAGCCTTTTTCATAAACATTGCTGTTTTCTCATATTTTCTGTTATTGTCATACAGATTTAAGAACTGTACAGATAATACTGTTTTCAATTTATTAACCTAAATTATTGTTACTGTTCAGAGCGTTTTCACAGAGTTCCTTTGGAGAAAAGTTTTAGTTGAACTATACTGTCATCTTGTGGTGACCAATGTTTGTTTCAAATTCACACACGGAAGTTTTTGAACTGAAGAATCTGGATATTATACATATAAAGTTATGTTTCTTGTGGCTGCTTGGTAACAGATGTTTAGTGTAGTTTTTTCCACACTAATTCCAACCGAGGTGTCCACATCTGCAAATCAAGATGATATCCATAAACAAAGGCATCCAAACTGGCCTTCATGAAAATGTTGCTCTTAAATTCCTCAGTTCTCCTGCAGCCTTCCTGAGACATTGTTACCTAGTCAAAGTGATCAATATCCAAGGGGATACTGAAAGGCATTCCCTTGATCTAAGAGATCACATTTAGACATAAAGACTTCAGTGTCTGCAGCTCTGAAGATAACCGAAGGTATCAACCACTCGTTAGCTTCTAGTATATATGAAGCTTGAATCATCACTATTACAACCCCTTGAAGTTTGTGCAAAGGGCACTACATACATGCACAAATAAGTAATGCTATATGATGATGATGATAGACAGAAATTGCTTGGGTATATCAGTCTTGTGTTTGTCACACACAAGTCCTTTCAGCAGTGTTTTAAGTTTCATATAACCAGTACAACTACTCTGTTTTTTCAGGAAAATCCCACCATGATCACATCAGGGACTGTATGGCTGTACTGCACCGTGGTGACAGTGTGATGTAGTAGCATGATACTAAACCCATGCAAAACAAATGCCACTGAGGTTATTTGGTGCTCATACTGTCTAGCCAGCCCTGGTTTTGGTCTTCTGTCCCTGAGCTGGACTTATTTGTAAGGCTGCTCTTTTGCTGTGAGAGGGACTGGAAGTGGGTGATTCTCCTCTTCTCCAGCAAAGTGCAAGAGCAGAGCAAGAAGGTCAGGAAGGTCTGCGGGCCTTGGGTGGGATCAGCTTGAAGCAGAGGGATGGAAATAAAAATTGATGGGCATGTTCAGTGTTGCATTTTACTTGTTTTTCAATGCCAAACAGATTGGACAGGCTGCTGAACATGGTGCTAAGGCATACAGAAAGGCACTCACCTCCACAGTATTCGGTAAACCCTGATCTAGATGCTTAATAAGATCAGTGTTTGCTGGCATGACAGAGTTTCTCCCATCACCAGAGCTGGCTGGCCAAAATCACTGTGCAGAAGCTGTGATGGGACACTGGCTGCTGTAACAGACTGCTGTTTCCTACATCAAAAAGACAGTGCTAAAATCCAGATGCATCACCTTCTAAATTCTGGACTACTTCCTATGCACCAAAGAAGAAGGGTGAATTAGCCAGTGCTGAATTTAGGCTGGTGCCATTCAGCAGCTGACAGTGTATGAGTCTGTGGGTTTTGAGCAGGCTGGAGTTCACTATGGGCTGTGAACTCTGTCCTCACCTGTGACCTACACCGTGGCAAAGAGATTCTGGGATGGTACTGGGGTCATTCAGTGCTCCTGAATACTAAAGACAACTTCATGACTATACCAAAAATCTTTCTTAACAGGTCTGAAGACATGTAAATGAACATGATTATTTTTATCTCACAAAGGACAAGAATAATTCCTCTGGCAGCATATTCTTGCAGGCAGCCAAACCAACATACTTCCTTTGGAGGCTGTTGCCATGGCATCTGTCCAATGTCTTCATAGCATCTTCCATATTTCTGAGATTTAATGAGAAAGAGGACAGGAGGCAGTAGTTAAAAGACACACAGCAAGGTTGCTGGGAGAAATATGACTCTGGTCCAGCCTGTAGGATGCATTCATACCGTTTGAGTTAATTGGGATTTTTTTTTCTGTATGGCATTTCATCCATAGGACACCGAGTTTTCTCTTTTGATTTTTGGCAAGGAAGATAGAATTGCTATAAAAATATTTTCATTAATTCAGTCAGGGCAAAATTAATTTTACCTAACTCCAGTCATCTATGTGCCTAGCCTAAGGGGGCTGTCTAGGCTCCTGTTAGAATTAATGGAAGGAGAAGAGTTCCTCCCAAGGATGATTTTTCCAGCCTAGTTTAGACACCTATTTTAGGATGGGATGATTTACCCTTTGGAATCATTTCTCTCTCTCCTGCATGACTAAATTCCTGGATTGTCAGGTGACGTGAAATGAGTATGAGCAAAGACCTCTGCCTTAGGTGTTATTTCGGTGACAGAAATTGCCAACAGAAATGAAAGAGCTGAGTGTAACAACCTGGGCCACACCATTGTGTGTCTGGAAACAATGCAGCTAAAGTCAGAATGGCTTTTTGCCCCATCCCTCAACCTTAATAGGAGTTAAAAGCCTCCCAGCACATAAATTAGCACCAAAGGAATTCAGCGAGAGACTATGCTCAGGATAAAGTACCACTGAGAAAACTGCACAAGGCTAGTTTGTCCAGGAGTGAAAATGCAGATTGCGCACAGCTTCACTGCTTTGGGGATTGTGTCAAGGATTTTTCTGGACAAGTTCCATGTTACAGGAGTTCAGCTGTCCACACCTTCCTTGTTGGAAGGTTTCTCAGTTTGCTGGCTTGTGGCAGGTCCACCAAGCTGTATTTTGGAGTAACTGCATTTTTAGTCTGTAAAACAGAGCAAAAGGAGTGACATCTAGCCTGCCAGATAAATACATACTTTTATCATGAGCTGTTAGACAAGGTTATCAAATTTTACAATCAAGGATAAATATACTGGCTTTATCATCAATTTCTTAATTTACCTGAGATGACCAGTTGTTGAACCAGTGAAAAGATGAATGCACATTTCTTCAGTTTCTTTCTGTACATTATTTCTCCCAATTTAACACTTCTAAGATGAAATTGCGTACAGTTTGTGAATCTACTGAGGATGCACAGTAGGCGGGCAAGGAGGAACTTAAATGATGCATCTGAATAAAGAACTATTTAGCATTAGTGATGTCCATTGCCATGCTTTTAACCTCAGGCTGGCTGTCCATAGCACAGAGGGCCTGGGGAGCGGGGCCAACGTGGGCAAGCAGAGAACGGAGGAGGGGCTGCATGTTTTTTTAGGCACTTCACTTTGGAAGTAGTATTACAGACAAGAGTACCTGAATCTCATTTACAAAAATTATTTTCACTGAATGCGTTTAAGTAGGGTTAGGCCTTGACTGCAGCCCTAAGTGGAGTCTAGGCCTCTCTGAATAGCAGCAGGAGCACTCCTGCAGAGAAGCTGCATTAGAGTTAAAAATGGTGGGCCTGTACGGCAGCTTCGGTGCATTAAACATTCTCTTTAGCAGGCAGAGCCGTATTTACACACCCCCTCGGCCGTTCCTCCTCAGCAGCAGCATGGCGGCGGAACCGGACACGCTGCGATACCCCACCCGCCAGTTTCGGGCTGGTATCACCAGCGTCGACCCAGCTCTCGAGGCCCGGGGTCCCGCTTGTCGCACCCGGGACGCAGGGGCCTTGCG